AGGATATTGACCTGTCTTTTTGAACCTGCTCTAAGATTTCTGATAATTGTATAAGTTAGGACCTAGACATTTCCAGAAGTTGACTTTGATTAATAACTAACTAGAAGAAATAAATATACTAGTAACAAGTAAATTTATGCTAAACAAGTCATGATTAGGAACCAGAGTAACAAAACTAGATGAACATCACAACTCTATTAGTTATCTTACTTCGTCAGTTTTTAAAATGCATGGAATTTCTTATTATTATAGTATATAAGTAAAGTAATAGTATAGTTATTTAGTTTTTTTATAACAAATTAATGCTAACATGTATCCTACACAATTTATATTACTTTCTTAAAAGTAAGAACACTTTTTGCAAGATGTTAGGTAATGAAAATTCTTGATTTTGGGCGTTAAGGAAGGATGCCTTGTATTGTTTTGCAGAAGGATTATTTTATGTTTCTGTGTTTATTATATATTAAGAACATCTTATGCTTTATGTTGGTGTAAGATTTATTAAGATACCTTACTTAAATATTTTTAAATCATTTTTTGAAAAAGGATGAAATTTCAAATTTTTATAAACTGACCTTGCTGAATCTGGTCTCGCTAATTACTTTCTTTACTAATTCTTTACCTGCTTGTTTCATATTAACATGCTTTGAATTTCCTTTCTTAGAACATTTATATTATTAATGTGGCTTAATTAGTTGATTTTCTATGATTTTTTAAAAATGACTGTAAATTAACTTTTTGTCTCCCTTTTCATACTTCGTTAAAATTGTGCTTTGGCTCATTTTTATGTGAATAAATTTTCTATTTATATCGGTCTGACTACCTTGAAAAAAATTGGGTTTGCTACTTGTATTACTGGCTGTGTGTGCAAGAAATTTGAGAGTTCTAACTTAGTTATTGTAGAAGTTAGTAGGGGTCTCAAATAGACCCTTTACTGCTCAAAAAGCGAACGCATTTTTTGAGTTTTAAAAAATTCATAACTTTTTTAAAAATGGACATACACCAATAAATTTGGTGTTTCTGTTCTGATGAAAACAGTCTCTATCAGGTGGAAGTGTTAAATTTTATTTAATTTCATTATAAAAATTTCATTTTGAATACCTACATTTAGTAATGACAGCAGTGTTATTGAGTAACCACATCTTCAGCACTGAGTACCAACATCAGTGACACTGAGCAGTTTCAGCACTAAGCACTCACAGTGATACTGAGTACCCACTGTTAAGGCAAAGTACCCACAGCATCGATTACCAACAGCTCCAGCGCTGAGTACCCACAGCATTGACACCAAGAACCGACTGCAGTAACAGTGAGTACCCACAGCTTCTTCAGCACTGAATATCCATACAAGTGGCAATATGTAGCTACAGCACTGTTATTGGTAATCAGTATCAGTATCATTCAAGTACAACAGCGTAGTATGAAGAACCGAAATTGGAAAATGACACTAAGTACTCACAGTAGCGGCATTGAGCATGAAAGAATATACAACGGCTGAACACTGTCATTTAGGACAGTATTTGTTCACATGCTTTGTGTGTATAGCAAATATAGGTCAAATGAGAAATATTCGTCTTTATTAGTTGACCTTGATTAGGAGTTGACAAAAAGGGCGTAACCAGGGACAACTACGGCTATACAAATTGAGGAAGTTATTTCATGTGTAGTGTGTTACTGTAGTGTAGTAGAACCACGACAGCAATGTTTCAAAGTACCTATTCATAAGAGGTATACAGTGAGCTGGTGCAGCAGAGTTATGTAAGTCAATGCCCGCACAACTAAAACTATAGTTTTCATGTCCATATGTGTATGTTGTGATATTCTATTGTTTGTGCGTGGATATTTAGAGAAACGTGTCAGTAAAAATAGTAAAATGACCGGACTAAAAAATATTTAATTACTGTTTGGTCAATTAGTGCCGGATGTCACAAATTCGCGACATACCATAATTAGCATAAAAAGTCCAAATTTCAAAACAACTATATACCTCAAGTATGATGAGAGAAAATCAGCACAAGTAATTTGTTACACGCCTGGAACATAATTCCAGCATTAAGGGGTTAAAGATATCTTGCTCAAAATTAGCCAAGATGTGGACAACATCAAAATTATTTGCCAGACATGATACATAAATCGACAAGAACACTTTGTACGATGAAGTTTATCTAAAAACTAGCAAATCCACAACGAGAATCCATTTGTTGCTATACCTGCTAATGCCGCCGACTAATTGAAAATTTTAACTCTGCCAATGCTGAATACGTCAGCCAATAGAATTTTACATTGCTACCGGGGCATGGAAGAGTTGGAAATTTTCATTTATGTAGGTCAAAATCTGTAAAAAGTGTATGGTTTGAATACTCAAAATTAAAAACTCAAATTTACTATCTAAAACTATGTCAAAGCTCACTATTGACGCTGGACACCCAACCACTCACAATAAGGTACTGCACCTAGCCTTAGTCACTAATCAGTGTGGCATTTAATATGGTGTTGCGTTGACGAATAATGTATATAATTTTTAAAAAAAATTTCTTATAGTTATTGGTAGCCGAAGTTAAATTTATGATCGTTTACTAAGTTGAATCATGTTGTTTTACCGGCGTCCCGGCAGGGTGCTATTTGGCGCACCGGCTAGAATTTGCGTTTATGTTTGCATTTTTAAGTTGTGTTTATGTTATGCATGTTGTATTATGTGTTTGCGGTTTTGTTTGCGTTAATGTTTTGGTTTGTGTCTTTTTGCGTTTGCATTGTTTTTTTTTGTTTGTTTGCATGTTGCATTTGTGTTTTTGTTTGTGTTTTTTCACATTTGCATTGTTTTTGTGTTTGCATTTTCTTTTGTTTGTATTTGTGTGTGTTGTGTTTTCTTTTGTGTTTGTGTTTAGTTTTGTTCTGTTCCTAAGTTGGTACCTCTAATAAAGATTCACTGTGGCCGAGCATGGGTATGCAGCTAGTAAATATTTAAATAGGCATAGATAGATTTTAAATTTTCTAAAAAAAAAAAGCACATTACAGTGCTTTGCTGTGTGTAGTATATTCTAGGAATTGTGTAAGAATCCCATGACTGGCTATGCACAAACACATATATTACTACCAGTTTTTGTCCAGATTTAGTTCAGTCTGGCATGTGAGTAACCAGATCTTCTGACCAACACATTTTTTGCCTAATTACGTAACGATGAGGCTGGATAGACTTGTCTGCCAACCCGATGAAACATATCAGACGAATATTATGTAATTTTAGAGACAACAGTCAGGCAAGATTTCCTGATCCATGCCCGAGGGTTCGGGTTAGTAACATCAACCACCGCAAGCTGATTGAATACCGTACGAAAATTATACATCAAAGGCCACGACCGCCAGCTTGTAGCGTCACTGACTAGTTGGGGCGGGGTGAGGCTTACATAGGCTTCGGGTGTTATAGTGTTGAATGGTCTGTAGCTCAGATTGCCCAACCCCACCTCCCATCCCTTTTTTTTTTCAATTTGGCGAGCTAGTATCTTTCATGTCAAGCGTATTTAAATGTGTAGCCAAACTAAAATAAAAGAGCCCAGGCTAAATTTATTTTTAAAGCCATTTTTACGAAAAAGAAATAATCTAGTTATAAATGAAATTACGTTGCGTGAAACACATAATTGTTTGATCTGACAGTAGACATCTGGATTTATTTCAAAACCATATTAAACGATTAACCCTGACCCGTAAATATTAGACTTTTTGTCCCGTTTAAATGGGTAAGAACAAAATAATGAAACATTCTTGTCTGCTTATATATAAAACAGATCAGAAATATCTGCAGACTCACGGTAACACTCCTCTTTTAAAAAGGTAAAAAGCCTCCCCCTAATCTGCATGTCCCCGCAGGGATAAAAAATGCAACTCAACCTGTTACTTTTTTAACATCTGAAATAATTTTGAAATTAAAGGTATACAGTTTAAAAGGTTATTCTATTACGAACAGAATAATGTATAACATGTTAATATAAATACAATTAAATGTATAACATGTTAATATAAATACAATTAAAGCATGCAAAAATAGTGTTGAACATGCAGGGAGTAGGATTAGTCAGATTTTCTCTGCAATGGCATTGGCTAATGGTCCATTTGTAACCTAAACAATTATCATATACAGCGATGTGATTTGTCAAAATGTTCCGTGGGAATCCGATAATTCTGTTCAAACTGCAATTTGCCTCAGCTTATTTTATTTTCTCCTATTTTTTTCTGCTGATATTGCAATATTGCAGAATTGTTACGAGTTTTTAAAGTCAGATAAAAACAACCTGGAAATGACTCCTACGGAAACATCCGGCATGTGCATTCCACACACTTTTATTTGGTCTACTGTTATTAGAACTCAGACAGGATTATATATACTATTCTTTTCTTTGTTTGTTACCATATTCTAAAGGATGATCAAATACCTGCATTTCTTTTCTATGGGAAGAGTAAGTTGGATGTGACCTATACTAGAATAAGATTAAATCTAGGTCAAGATTAATCAGGGATGTGGCTGTTTAAATTTCGGCAGAATACCAAATTTTTCCAAAATTTTAGTTCACTTTAGCATTTTATTCACCCTGTTTTTTTAATTTTTTGCAAAAACATTTTTACAAGTATTAATTCCAAAATAAATAGTAGACCTTTTCTTATTTCAACTGATCTGGTTTATTTTATTTTCCATAACATGACCTGAAAGTTTAAAACTACAATTATGCTCTTTACTGTTAATGCCCTTCTTTCAGAATATAACGCTTTATTTAAAGCTGAAAACAAGAGTGCAACTAGATCATTACAGTTTAAATTAGCTCATCATTAAAATCCAATTTGATTTCAATTTTCACTAAATTTCACAAAATTTAATATTAAAAAAAATCATTTAACTGAAATTAGACAGGAGTTTCATTTTATTAATTTCACTTTTGAATTATTAGCTATTGATATTCAAAAATTTGAGATACCGTTAAACATACTCACACCTTTGTTTTTCTTTTAAGGCAATATGACTCAACAAAGCAGAAATGAATCTATCCAACTGTTTACCAAACTTTTGAAACTCTATTCGTCCATCATCAACAAACTAAATGATGAACAAGGTTTGGTGCTTGAAGATTTCCACAAATATGAAGGAGCTGGTTCTCAGTGGTTTGATAGTATAAAATCAAGTGAGGCGGCCAAGTATTTAAACAGTAAATGTCATAGTGAAAACAAAGTCACTTCAGCATTTAAGGAAGTCACTGGGACTTTGAAAATGATTGAATTCATAAAACTTGCAAGTCTGGTCTTAGCTTACAACAACAGTCTGACTGTGGCTTTTGGGAAGAAAAACAGTGTAAATGACAAGGTATTGTACCGACTTTGTTTCTTTTTTGTTGACATTAGTCAAATTAGTTTATACATGACTAATATGTAGCTTAACACATTTAGTATCCTAATATATAAAAGTCCATGTGCGCACCTCTCTCTCTCGCTCTCTCGGGGCTGTCTACTTGTACGGTTTTGCCCGTAACTTTACGATTTTAACACCCAGGTTACGATTTTACAATTATGCTACCACTGTTACGGTTTCGCCGACCATTAAAATATTAAAACCGATTTACCGGGATTTACCGTTTTTCCGTAGCGTGATAGGCCTAGTCATTTTTTATTCTCAACTTTGAAAGGGAGATAACAACTAGAATCTATATTTGCGCACGCGTGAGACTGGGCCTATGCTCTATTATTATTTCCTTTTCCGTATTAATGGATTGAATACTATATGAATTTTTGTGTATTAGTCAAGAAAAATGAAGCTAAACTGTTGAATTTCTATACTCTTGTCTGAATGACCATTCAGTGTCATCTATGGAAGCTGAACAATTTTACAAGAATATTCTAAATTTGTTTGATACCAGTTGTTTTTACATTTTAAAAAAAATACCTTTTGCTGATCCTCTTAAAACATATTGAAATTTTGGATCCAGGTTTGCAGACACAAGCTGAATCCTGTTCTGTCAGATATTTTTTAGATCGTTTTCCTATCCTATGTAAGGATGTAAAAAAAGAAGACATTCTGTCTGAATTCATTACCTACAAGGCCACTGATCTTTCGACTGTCTTAAAACCTACAGTTCATGCAACATGGCAGGCACTTTTCTCTCTGAAAGACGAAGAGGGTCAGCAGCTGTTTAAACACCTACCAAACCTAATGCTTTATTTGTCAATGCAACTATCCCACATAGCTCAGCTCACTGTGAAAGAATATTCAGCTGTGTTAGACAAAATAAAACTGACCAGAGAGCTTCTCTTGGTGCTGACACTTTAGAAGCTCTAACTCAAAGCAAGTGTCAAAGCAAGTGGCAACAAGAAAGTACTGGATACTAATCTTCTAAGAAGGCTCAAATCATGCTACAGTATTTTATTAAAAAAATAACTTGTTTCAAAACTGTACATAGTGTGTATAAATTAAAACTGATGTGCATTGTAAAAAAGCATTTCCTTGTGTAAATAAAGACATTGCCATTTGACTACTGCTCCGTGAGTATACTATACTGTTAATAATTTAATATAAGCATGCATTTAAAAGGTTTTCAATGTGCGCAAAATTGGTTACTGATAAAAAGGCTTGGTTACTGAAAAGTATGGCTTTGGTTACTGAAAGAAAATTTTTGAGGTAGGCAGCCCTGCTCTCTCTCTCTCTTTTTAAATGTATGAACTAAATTTTATTTAAAGAAGGAAATAAAATTAAAGACATATTCAAATGTAGAAACACATTTTAAATTATGCAACCAGAAAAGGGATTATGATTGTGACAAGATCGCAAATAACAATGACTTCACATGTTTAGGAAAGTACACATAATTAATAGCGTCATCTTTCAATTTTAGAATATGAAGAAATATTTCATTCAAATGTGATTTAGATCTATGATTCTACTTATTAGGATGTAGGATATGAAAGGTATACATTTTTCTCGGCCAAAAGTAATACAAATTACTTTAAAAAGGAACATAAATACCATTGAACAGCCTGGTTTTTAATGTAATTATTAAGTCTCTTAATCAGTGTGTGCATTTAATATGGTGTTGTGTTGACTAATAATGTATATAACTTTGTTTTTCTAATAGGTATTCGTTATTTTAAATGTGTTATTAAGTTATTTCTTTGCTTTGTCACTAACATCAAGCGTTTTGACCAATAACTATTTTATAAAATATTTTTCTCAAACAAGTATAACATTTAAATATATAGGACTATAATTATCATGTAACTAGTACCGACGGCTAGTATAGACATATCAAATATTCAGAGAAGTAACTTTTCCGCTTTTTTTTTCTGGAAAGCTGTTTTTTTTTCGCTTTTAAAATTTTTTCCACTAAACACATTCTAAAAAGCAAAATAATAATAATAAAAAGGGAAATTTATAATTATTTAAAGACTTATTGTATTTAACAAAATTTTGCCGGACATGTGCAATTCCCATCAATATAAGCTTACACTTGTGTTAATTTTTATCTATCAATAATTTTTCATCGTTTATTAAAGTTTATTATTAACTGTATTATTTTTTGCCAGTTTAAGTAACTGTCTACTCTATTAATTTATTAAAATAAAAAGAATGTCTTTAAATTAAAGTATAAAATTTGTAGACAGACAAAATAATGGATTACCACTTGAAGACCTGGATAAGGGAATTAAAAAAATTGTTTTTAAATGGTTCTGGTTAGAAGAATAAGACTGGGTGATTTTCTTTCTATGTTCGAAAAATTGAAGAGCCACGTTATGCTTGGTGTTTTTTACTGCAAAGACGAAATCGAATATGGTTCTGCATGAAAAAGAGCATTAAAATCTTATGCTAATTCTAAACAGCATAATTAAGACAACATTAAACACTTGAGTAGAAAGATGAAGAGAGAACCTCACTTTCTTCCTTTAGAATTATGTTCTCCTTAGGCGCCATAACCTCCTCAGTCAAAGACTTGGAGCAGCAGGAAACTTCCTGATTTGTAGATTGCTTTGCTTGGTTACCTTCCTTTGATGCTTTTACAGCTTTCTCTGCAGCCCCTGCCTTCAATCTTTCATGGCATTCTTGCGAAATAAGGCTCTCCCCATATAAGCTCTTTTGATTGCCTTACCACGGCCAGCATTTGTGTTTTTTGTCCCTGAGCAGCAGTGGTAAAATCTTTTTTTAATATAAAACAATCCTTTATTGAGTCTTTATTATTGACTGCTGGTGTTTCAGCAGGTGGCATATCAGGCTGAGATAATAGCCCGTTTAGGCTCCAGTGTAAAACCTCTTTCATCAACATCATAGATCCTCTCAAGGCTTATCAAAGGTTATTTACCACCAGTATCTCCTTTAAAAGCTTGAACCATTCTTTATAAGTGGTTTTGTTTGCTGATGTTTTTGCACAAGTTTTCTTTAGCTGTTCAGTGATGCGCCATGTTAGATCTGGGTGCCTTTTGAGGAAGCCAGACAGCCATTTAGATTCTGGCAGGTCAGCAGTCAAAGGGTTTATACCCAAGGCATTGAACAAATTCACCTACTATCTCCTGGGTCTCAAAATGCGTGAGGCTGAATCCCCATCTGCCCAGGATTACTAACCATCTGGCAAATTCAGTTTCTTCATCAGCTGTTAGTGTTGAATTTCAGCCAGCTCCTATCTTACTGTAGCGTCCTCTGACTTGAGCCCTAATGATTCCTTTTTTTAGGTCATAGTGGTTTGGAGCTTTCTGGAAGCCCATTTTACCACTAATGACCTTTTAAACTGCAACTTTCATTGCTTCCTTGTCTTAGGCCAAAGTTTTTCATTTAAAATTGCAGGCCATTCTGAAATGAGAACAAAATTAAATGTTAATACTACTATGTAATGCTTATATTATAAGGTAATGACTATTGTGTTTATGGGAGATGTTTGAATGAAAATATCGCATCTATAATTATATAAGTTTTGCAGTCTGTCTATCTGTGTATCTATCTATCTATCTGACAAGAATGCTATAGAGAAAACATAAGCAGAGTAAAAACATGAATTGTTATTCAAAAAACGAAACGTGACTTCACATGGAGCATAAAGTAGGAAAGAGTCGAAAGCTGGGAGAGTACACACAATAATATGACGTCATTGATTCTCAAGTAAACAATGAATTAAAAAGCCAATTTTGTCTAATCTTAAAAGTGGTTTGCATGCAGAGTTTCTTTCATGCAATTTTTACGTCTAAGCCGCCGCCCCCCCCCCCCCCAACTCAAAAGAAATGACGTCATCGATACTCTATAATAAAAAGACTGACATTTAGGCATAATTAATGCGTCTAATCTTATAAGCGTTTTGCGTTTAGAGTTTCTTTCATACAATTCTTCGGGTAGTGGCTAAGCGCGACACCAGTGTTTCTTTCAGATTTTTTCCTTCCCGTAAGGGGGAGCTTGACATTTTCTAATCTAAAAAGTGTTTTTCGTTCACATTTTTTTCCATGCATCTTTTCCGGTAGGAGCTTAGCACCTCCCAGGCTCTTCCTTTAGTTTGTACTAGCCATCGGTACCCGTTTCAGTTGAATTATAGGCCTATATATTTTAAAATGTTGTACTTGTTTGAGAAAATAATTTATGAAATAGTTATTGTTCAAAACGCAATGTACACACTGAACGATATTACTGACAAAGCAAAGAAATAACTTATTAGCTAAAAATCTGACACATTTAACATAACACAGGCACACACTGATTAAGTGACTTAAATGATTCAGTTAAAAATCTGGCTATTCAATGGTCATTGTGTTGTTTTGAGTAATTTGTATGAGTTTGACCGATAAAATTGTATATATTTCATAGCGTACGTCTTGATGAGTAGATCTATAGATCTAGATCTAAATCAAATTTGAATGAAGTAGTTCCTTTCTTTTTAGTCTAAAATCGGCAGATTCACATATAAAAAAAAATATTAATTTTGACTTGGTGTGTCTTGATCCCGCACCACATCATTAGTTAATGTATAAACATTAGTGACGTCATTGTTTCATGGGTTCTTTTTCACAACTATAAACGCTTCTCCTGTTGCATAATTAGAACTGTTTTTCTACATTCGAATACGCCTTTATTTTTTATTTTTCTTCTTTAAATAAAATGTTGGTTATACATTTAAAAAATCTATCACATTATTTTCAACCAAAGTCCGTATCAAGTTCTTTATATATCACTGCAGATTCTGATGTGATATCCGGCAAAAATATTTTGCGGACAGAGAGAGAGAGAGAGAGAGAAGTGCGCACATGGGCTTTTATATATCAGGATGATCTACAAATGCGCCCAGTGTTACTTTCAGACTTTTTCCTCCCCGGAGAGGAGTGGGGGTGCTTGAAATTTTCGGGGGCGGGTGGAATTTTTTGTGAGGGGCGGACACTGGAAAAAGTATATAATTATATTTAGTAGACGTGCTTTGGTGTGTGTGGGGGGTGACAGTGCGGAGTCCCCTCCTTCCAAGTAGAGTTGCCTGAAAGAAACTCTAAATGCGCCTTTTGTTATGATTGCGATTAGGTGCATGGTTTAGGGGTACGGCTGCAACTATATTTAGTATAAATGCGCGATAACTATGTGTAGATCAAGCTTAAATCCTATTAAAATGCAGATTATGGATAAAAATCCGTTTTCAATGTCATTTTTTGTTTCCGGTTCAATTTGAGGTCAGGATGGTTGCATTTTTTTTATTAATGAAAAGAGACAACACTATCAACCTAGTGCCCGTTGTATCCTTCCTTAATGGGCCATTTATCTTGTAAATAATATAGGGACAGTAAAAATAATAATAGATGTGGCAATTTTTACTAAATTTTTACAAATAAATACTGTATACTTTATTTTTATAATCAAATAATGAATTACTACAACCAGAGTAAATAATCCTAATAGCAAAATCCTCTTTAGAGTATAAAAAGCAACTTCCCCACACCTACTATTGAAATAAACTATGCTTTTCTGTTCTAAATTATCAGCTAAATCTAGCATCATTAATTGTTACTATTAACAAAAATTATTCAGCTTCTATAAAATCAATAAATAATTTCCTCTCCCTCCTCTCCCCCCCCCCCCTCCCAATAAAATATATTTCTTTATTTTTTTTTTTGGGTCTAATCATTTGCTCTAACGTTTTTCAAGCTTACCTAACTAGTAACATTGTCTTCTTTAATCGCTGGGTTAAAGTCTTAAATTAGTTTTAATTTACTGTCCAAAGTATTAACATTTGTAGAACTAAAAACTAAAAATGTTATTTCAGGAACAGAGTTTGCCAAAAAACTTGACAGCCCTTGTGGAGAAAATGTCCAGAGCTATTGAAACTTTTCTGGCCTTCATACCATGGGACTACACTTCTTGTGAGAAGGAGTTGCAGGACTCTCTGCCTTCTTTGGAAACTGATATAAATGATTATGCATTAACATTGTACGGTGAAGAACTCGTATCTTTAGACTTAAAACAACAGCTGGTTGTTTATGATGTTGATGTTTTATGTGCAGTGCTAGGTTTAAGGATGGAGTTTGGAAACTTTCTAAAGCAGATCAAATCAGAGTGGTGGTTTTACCAAGTAGAGACCTACCATATTCTTAACTGGCTAAAGAACTTTAAAGCTATGCACCAGACCAACAATGTGTTTTACAACATGGGGTTTACTGAAAAGAAAGCAACATCCATCTCAAATCAGATTCCTTTATCTCTGTATAACCTCCAATCACCTTTTTATTGGGCTGAATCGTACATTGAAAGCATGTTCCAATGTCATCCTCTTTTAGGAGATTCTAAAGATTTCCCCAATGTTTCAGAACATATTGATTGCCCTGATACACCAGAAAACACCCCATTTGAGGCATGTGTTGATGTAGCTAACCCAGATCAATGTGATAAGGGGAAATTTAGTATTATAAATGGATCAGATATAGATTGTCTTAAGGTTCAGTCGTTAATTGATGATTACATAAGTCAGCTTTCCTTAGATGGGCATACTCTGTTTTTTCATGGAACTTCGCATATGTCTGCAGCCTCTATTTTCAAATGGGGAATTAATCTCACAGAAGGTAGCGAGAGACAGGATTTCTCACATAAAGAAAGTTTTAGCCTGTATTATTCTTACCAAAATGCTAAAGAATGGGCCAAGGCACGGAACTTTGATTCTGCTGTGGTTGTGTTTCAAATTCCTGATATACTGCTTAAAGAAACTGACAACAATGGTCGTGATTTGACTGCTGACAACCCAGAAAACAGACAAGAGTGGGAAGAAATAGTAAAGTACAGCCGGAAAGGATATACAGGGAATGAGCCTGCAAGATTCAAATCCTACTCCTTCATTAAAGGCCACTTGTGTGCTAATCCTAATGATGTGAAGAAAGGAAGTACACCATTAAAGCTTTCTGATACCAATCTACAATTTTGTTTGAAAAAGCAAAACTATGCAGCTGTATTTGGAAATACAAAGCATATTTTATGTGCTGTATTCTACAAGAACAAATGCAATTGTAAAGGCAGACGTTTTTGCCCATAATATAGTAGAATGTTGTAATGTATTGTCATTTGTACTAGTACAAATATGCATTGATGTTTTTTAAACTGTCTTTTTAATATTTTGATGTAAGTTATTTTTTAATACAAATAATGACTTATGTTGTCTTTTTTTAATGAAAATTCTTCAATAGCAAGTGCATTAAGTCTGGTACATGGTTTCCACAAAGTTGTGGAAACATGAGCTCAAATAGAATATCATAAAAATTCCTTAAAAAGCAAATCGTTTTTTTTTAGCAAAATATGTTTTCTTTTTAAATCTTTTTTTTCAGTTGGTCCAGTGTTCTCATATGACAGTGTTCATATTCATACAAACATTAATAGCTTGATCAGAATGATTTGCTTACAGTTACAAACACCTATTTTTTATTTTTAAAAATAAAATTTTAAAACATTGTTTAAGGTTAGAAATAATTATAAAGTGTTATATCTGATAAAAGTGATAGCTACCGTGTTTATAATGGTGTATAACAAGATTTAAAAAGAATGGAACTCTTGATAATGAAAAATAAAAATTTAATTGAAGTCTTCTTTTTTGTTAAAATGTACGTTCTTCATCTATTTTAAAAGTTTGTTTAGTTTTCTGGTTTACTTTTAGTTCCATATCTAAGTAACATTTTTTATATATCATGTTCGGAAAATAAACTATAATTGACTACTCTTGAAAATAAAATTAATATTAATTTTTTTTTAAATAACAGGCTTTATTAGATGTGTCAAACTGAATTTTTAAAATGGTCCCAGAGCTTTTTGAAAGTTGCTATGTCAAGATCTAATATATAAAGCTCAGTTCTGTAACGTGTGGCAAAAAAAAAGTTTGTCGTTGACAGTTCTACGGATTTAAGTGTTAGATTTTTTTATCGTGCTCACAGTCTAAATGTACGAGTCAAAAAAATACCATTGAAAGTCTTTAAAAACAATGTTCACTCTATTTACTTAGAAGAATAATTTTCAATTATGAACGCGACATAAAATTTTTAAAAAGTGTATCGACGTTTATAAAATTTCTAAAATTGTGTCGGAAATGTATTGACTGCACAGTTACTTCCCTTTAATAAAAAAAATTCTTAAGAAGAAAGAATTTACATTTTATTACTTTGTTTTTGGTGTTAAGAAATAAAAAAAAAATTACATAATTAGCGGGGATTGATTAAGTGCAATGTCGTTAGGTATTTTTAACACTGCCTTTTATTTATTCTATACACTGAACATACTGTTCAATAATTATTTTTTTTTAAATCAATAACATTTAATAAGCCAGGTCCTACAAATCCTATATGTTTATTTCTTTCCATTTACGGATAAGCTTGGAGTATTATCATTTTTGTTCACTAAATTGAAACAGGCGCGTCCGCCGGCGCCCTTGCACGGTTCGATTTGGCACCCTGGGCTATCATGTGAGCGCTATGCTGCATAGTTTTGTTTTTAACAGTGCGATAGACTATGGGTAAGAAAGGTTACTATAGTCTTTAAGTGAATCAAATCCGGGCGTCCTCCGGCACCCCGACAGGGTGCTATTTGGCGCCCCGGGCCTTCCGGTGTACGCTATGGTATATACGTTCGCGTGAGTTCAAAAGACTATGAATAAGTTATGTACTATAGTCGTTTACTAAGTTCAATCAGGCGGTGACGTCATGGTGCGTCCTCTGGCGCCCAGACAGGGTGCTATTTGGGGTCCCGGGCCTCCCGTGTTCGGTTTCGCGCCTACGTTCATTAAAGTGAGTGCAAAAGACTATGAATAAGTTGGGGTACTATAGTCGTTTATTAGGCTGAAACAGGCGATTCCGCCCCGGGCTAGACTCTGAGCACTGTGCGTTTATGTTCGCGTTAGTGTTTTCTTTGTGTTTAGGTTGGGTTTGCGTTAGTGGTTGCGTTTTGATTTGGTTCGTTTTTGTTCTTTCTTTTTTCGTTTTCGTTTGTGTTTTATCTTCTTTGCGTTTGTATTTGTGTTTGTGGTTGGTTTTGCGTTTGTATTTGGTTTGTTTTCGTTTGTTTTTTCGTTTGTGTTTTTTCTTTGGGTTTGTGGTTGGTTTTGCATTTGGATTTGGTTTGTTTTCGTTTGCTTTTTCGTTTTTTTTTTCTTTGTGTTCGTATTGGTGGTTGTGGTTGGGTTAGTTGTTAGGTTTTTGTTTTCGTTTGTATTTGTAATTGTGTTAGCGTTATGTTTGCGTTTTGTTGTTTTGGTTTTGGTTTGGGTGTGCAATGCCGGGTTTATGATGATTACTAAACACACAGGTAATGGTCTTTAACAGAAAGGTTTTTCACAGAAGCCAGAGCAGGGCCTGGCCGGGACGGCTAGTAGTGGGTAAAAAACTTATGACATTTTAAAATGTTGGTTTTAACTTTTTACTTTCTCATATACAAAGTATAGAGAAAGTATTGTAATTGTGCAAAAAAACAAGACAACAGATTTTTCTCTTTCTCTCTCCTTCTCTCTCTCTCTCTTTTTTTTTCTCTCTCTTTTTCTCTTTCTCTCTCGTTCTCTTTCTCTATCTCTCTTTGGTTATTACCGTTTTCTCATATGGACTAATATTCTAGGTCTTTAATATTTTTTTTTAACTTTCTCGTAATCCAAGTAATCTTATAGATGAAGAAATGTAATCATGCAAAATATCGAAATTTTGGCATTTCTTGAAGAGCCTGTAAAAAAACTTGATTTTTCCAATTTTGTATTATACAAAATGTGTAGATCTAGTTCTGTTTAAAAGTTTGAGTGATTTCCAGTAACCGGATGTGGTAATTACTCTACTACTAGTAGGTACTCCAAATCGATTTTTCAAATCAGTCACACAATAATGGCTTTGGTTTTTCTGCATAGTACTAATAATTCTAAGAACGTGGATACCAACTTTATGTCTGTAGGACAATTAGAAAAAAAGTTATGCGCTTAAGAAACGCTTTTTTTTTTTACCTTTTTCCAGAGTTTCTTCCAGGCATCTCTTCGGGGGGGCGAAGCCCCCCCGAAAATTTTTTACCGCCCCCCCGAACGAAATGAAATTTATATAATTTATATAGAAAATATATACTTTTAACAGTGTCCGCCCCCCCCCCGAAGAAAGTTTACCGCCCCCCCGAAGATTTCAAGTGCCCCCCCGGAGAAAAAAGTCTGGAAGAAACACTGCCTTTTTCGGCCTCATGAGGACCCGACTTTAGCACCGATTATCTCAAAATCTATAGTAGCTATACCCATTCTCTATTTAAATTCCAATAAAAGAGTAGATCAATTGAAGTCTCATTTTTTTTCAAACTAGTATAACAAGTCAAAGATAAACGTTTTTTGTCTTAGAAATCGTACTATACCATATTTACCAAACATTTGACAGGATGAAAAAAAATCTCAAAATTCACCAACTTTCACAACACCACTAGAATTCTTCTATTGCATGCACAATTATCACCTTTATATCGATTTAAAGGGGGAAATGTCACCTAATTATGTACATTAAATTGAATGCTATAAATCATGCAGTTAAATGTCCAGATTTAAGAAAATAAGGTGGGGGTGAACATTTTACGCCTCAACACGGCTTTATAAGTGAGTATTTCAAAATTGACAAAAAATTACTAAAACTACGGATTTATAGAAAAAGTTATTTATTTGTAACTACAGTTAATCCACAGTTAAAAAGAAATATTCTCGGTAAAATAATTTAGTGTTAGATCGCTGAAAAACGTTAATAAAAATGCACCATTTCAGGATTAAAATCGGGCCGAGTTTAAAAATAGAGACCTATTTTAGACTTTTTTTTAGCAAATTACGACCCCTAAATGAAGAAAAAAGAAATATCGGGTGATAAAGTATACCCATAACTGTATAGACTACTCGTATTATATATTTAGCAGACAGTTTGGACATTTTAAATCAGATAATCAGTTCTTATTAGTGTTTTTATCGCAATTTTCTGTACTTTTCTCTCGAAACGTTGCCGGTCGAAAAACTAGGTCAGCGTGACATTTTACTAAATATATTCAAATTTTACAGATAAACTTTAGTTTTAAATTATAAATACTTAAATATTTTCATATTTTATTGTATTCTCTTTAATATTGAACTGTTTTTATTATGATATAATGCGTAAGAAAAAATAGATTTCTTTCAAACACGTCAGGGGTCTGATCCGGGCCGGGCTTATATTTTCTTTGTAAAAAATTTCGTGATCGCGTCGGCGAACGGGAGTTTCACATGATTTCGTTATCGCGCTTTGCCATTCGCGCCATCTTTGACATTGTAAAGATATTTTCACATTTAAATAGAAAAATGGACGATCTTTCCTACCATTCTAGTAGAAAATTAGTATTTGTAGTGGATTTTGGTGAAAATTCAATTTTTTGTAGAAAATTTGAGAATTAAACCGTTTTTACTAAAATAATTTAACATTTTATACGAGACTAAAGGTCATTCAATCCTGCGTACGATAAGCTATGTTTAGAATTCATACGTCACGTGGCGCCGAAGCGCAAAGCGTCAGAATGCGATAGGGGTAAAAACGGGTCTGTCATTTTGCCGATAAAAATTGTTGCGGTGATGTTTTTCAAGCTACAAAAACATGTATTCTTCCTTTACCAATATAAAAACAAACAACACATTATTGTAGAGCTTAAGTTTAGCGTTCTAACCATACCATTTTTATTAGTATACGCTTAATTTTTATGGGAGAACTTTGTGATGGAAAGTTGTGAAAAAGTAAAGAAAATGAGTAGAAACCTCGATTTTCGGCAGTGGCTTCTTTCTACCGGCTTCTTGAAGCCGCTTACTTTAGTATGATTTAAGTGAAGGAGTCACCCAGTTATGTCGTCGACAAAAGAAATTTGGATTTAGATCCCCACCGCCCTCAGTCAAACCTAGTAAATTTCAAAATTTAAATACGATCATATGTCATTTCATTCTCTCTATTTCAGTTAGTACTCTGTATATATAAGAATAACATCTGTTCTCTCGATTTCAAATAGTTTTGGTTGACGAAAAACCTGTCTATAAAAGACTAACAAATTTCATTGTGAAACTTTGGACCAAACATAAATTATATTTGGAGTGGATGTAAACTGTTTTATAAATAAACCGGGAGTGATCTCCCCTAAACTTTCTCGAATATTCTTATATAACACTACGGAGGATGGCAACTCGGGATATAGACATGATTTTTAATTACTTAAACTTTTAAAAATAGGATAGAAGAATCTCGTACAAAAAGAATTGCACACTAAGTAGGTAGTCCAAAAAGTGCGTTTTAGGGTTTTCAAAAACAAAATTTCACTACTTCTAGTTGTCCTATACGATTAAAAATTATATGTCAATAAAATTTAAGTCTTAATCTGTCGTAATCAGGTATTTTTATATCTGTAACACATGTTTCAAAGTTTTATATTTGTTTGAAAAGTATCAGTTACGTCAATAAATTTTACCGTTTTGGGGGTCATCCATTTATGACGTCCACAATTTTTTTGGGATTCACAAAAGTCAGTTTTTTTCGGACCCCCCCCCCCCCCCGCGTGTGGATGTCATAAATGGATGACCCCTTGCGAGTACCGATCGACCCCACACTGTTTCATTTGGTTGCGGCTTCGCGACGAAGCATCGTAGAAGCATAATCTTAATGTCCTTTTAAAGAGCGAATTCTAGTCTATCGTTTGATGTATAAATTGAAATAAGCCGGGAGTGATATCCCCTAAACTTTCTCGAATATTGTTATATAAAACAACAGGGGATGGGAACTCGGGATATAGATCTAGTTATGATTTTTAATCCATTTTAAATACTTAGACTTTTTAAAATAGAATAGAATATCATAAAAAAAAGTATTGCGCACCAAGCGAACGCCGAATAAAGATGTTCATAATGGTGCGCAATATTATTAGTACTTTATAAATTTAGATGCGTTTTTGAGAAATCGGAAATATCGTAAATTAGTACTTCCCGTCAACGGAAATTACTCAAAATTTAACAGAAGGTAGAGAATTAGATCTTTTACTTACAGGTGAAATTTCATTCCTCTATCTGAAATAGTACTCAAGTTATAGGCTTTTGAAAAATTCAAAGTAGAAAAAGTACC